AACGAGGACAGCGGTTATATAAGTTGAGAAAATTTTAAAAATACCGATTACAGGGAAGAAAAGTTTTATGAAAGTTTATTCGTTGTTGGAAAACAGCGGCCCATCCAGCTACATACGCGCCGACTCCGTTAAAACTTCCCTTCATAAAAAAAGTTTGCAAAAAAAAAGCTCGGCAAACCCCTCTATAAAAATTCATTTTCTTCAGAAACACACTTTAAGGAACCTATATGCAAGAAACCAAAGAAATCCTGTGTTTCTAACTTTTTGAATTCCGTCCACAAAGTAATAGAAAAATAGTTATGTTGGGATCAGCTTCTACGTTACATCTTAGTCACCATCGCGACGACGACGCTACCGAACAATATGATACAGCAAGAAACCAATAACCACTGTTCTGAGGAATTAATTGGTGTCAAAAAATCCGCAGATTCCCAAAAATGAACCAGGTAAACAACGCCCTAGTTCAACGTTGGCCACCAGTTTTAATGAAGTTACCGGCCAACCTGCTTAATGTAGCTCGCGTACCGCCGCGAAAAAATTTTAACACAAATTGGAAATGACGACCCCTATATATATAATGATAGTGAACAGAATCATACTGCGATACCTTCCTATATGGAAAGTCATTGTCGTTACCATGTTATACTGCAAAGCACTTTCTTTTAGTTATTAACGACTTACTTCTTGCCAACACACGTATAAAGTGGACAATCTGTAGCTGTTGATGAAGCTACGGTAAAAAACTGGAAACTTTAACGGCATAGCTAAAGGATCTCTCAACCAAATCCTGGGGTAATGCAGTTGCTGCAGGTTTCTATGCGTAATATATCGTTAATGAACCCACTTTCTTAAATCAGCACAGCCAGTTGGTATGCTTTAATATAAATATCAATGAAGATTTATTGGCTACTTTCCGGTCTAGTAGGCGGGAATTTAAAAACTGTCGAGAAAAGCTGTCAAATTAGAAATTGATAAATGTTTCAAATTGTTTTTACTATTGCAAGCTGCGTTTTTTGCACAATCGACAACACTGTTTGAAAAACGGCAGAAAAATATCATATCGTTTAGTATTTTAAATAAGAAGATTAAAAAGAAATTGGGATCAAAATTTTGGTGTGGAATCACTTGGTTCACTTTTTTTTTCTGCTAATTTTTACCATTATTTATGTATCAAAATTGCATGGATCACATAATCATTGGTCACTCTACCAAAACAGTTAAATACAGCTATTTGGACGGATCTGAAGCAATTTTTCTGAAATACTGGTTGATTGGTTGATTGATTAGTTTCGAGAGAAAAAAAATTTTTTTTTAAATAAAACACTTTGTTACGTCATTAAACGTCAATGTACTCCTTTTAATCATCGGTGGATATTGGTTGTTGCACACAGATACACACAGATACAATCACTACAACAATAATGAACACCTGTAAAAACTGCTTTTGGAAAAGGAAAATATGATTACAATTTCAATTTTAAA